GTGAATGACTAACCCGGCGTCTGCACAGCTGCACCGGCGCTCGTTCCCCGGCGCCCCCTCCCCGCCCCCTGCCCCTGGCTAATCCGTCATTCTGGGGCCGAAAACATCATATCCCAAGTTCTCCCGGAGAAGCCCTAGTCACCGGGTGGAACCCCAGCCCCGCGCTGAGTCCCCTCCAGTTCCCTGCGGGGGGATAAGGTGGGAGGGGGTGCGGAGTTGGGGTACTCAGGCACTGTCCTAACCATAAGGGCTCTCGCGCCCTCGGGCTCGCCGGTGGCGCCTGTGACGTCTCCGAGGGGCAGTGTGACTTGTGACCTTGAGGACAGTTCCGAGCAAAGATGTCCCCGAGGGGGGCCTTGGATGGAGGGAGGTTTTCCGAAGAGTCTCATCAGAATGCACAGGGCCGCGCCGCGTGTCCCCTGAGGACGGGCGTTGATTGTACACCTTCATTCATCCGGAGAGGCAGTCTTTTCTTTTCCCAGCAGGTGTTATCTGAAGCCGGTTCGGAACTTTTGGGAGTTTGGTTACTATTATGACTTGAACAAATGATCTTTGATGAAGCGATGTCTCGAATGAACTGGGCTTCGGGACCCTCTGGACCCCGCCGAGGGCTGGCGGTGGAGGGTGGGGCGGGCGCTGGGGAGCGCAGTGGTGAGAAGTCCCCTGTCCTTCCCCGTCCCCCTGCAGATCGCTGCTGTTTTGCCCCTAGGGGTAGGATGTGGTGAAAGGATGGGGCTTTTCCCTTCCGGGATTCACAATGGCCAGGGAAGATTCCGTGAAGTGTCTGCGCTGCCTGCTGTACGCCCTCAATCTGCTCTTTTGGGTAAGTCAGTTTCACTGCCCCGACCAACAGGTGGGGACGGCTGGCTCCAGTTTTCTGAAGCCATCGGATAACGCGCCAAAGGGCATGGCTAAGCATTAATTAATTACATGGGATAACACCCTGTATTTTTCAGAGAAGTAAAATTTGACCTCCTTAAAATGCCTTTGATCTAGTTCAAGTTCCATTTGTAATTAGAAAAAAATCTACCCCTGGATACGAGTGGCAGTAAAATTAGACTTGAAGTTAATCTAGGGATATAAATAAATGCACGTGCTTGTTCTCATAGATAAGAAAATTATGACATGCTACTTAGGGAACTACTTGTTTGCAGGAATTTTAGATAACTGGGCAAGCCATAAATTGGTTCTTTACCTCACTCTAACCTGCAAAATCTGGTTGGGCCAAGTCTTAATATGTTTTTGGGGGAATTCACACCCAGATATCCTGTCAAAAGACTGGGTAGTTTTATCTAGGGGATTCTTTACAGACTGAAAGGTGGTTTTCATGTAACTATTTCTAAGTTGGCAAAGTTTAAGGAATTTTGTGTATGCTTTTGGAAAATCCCATAACCATGTAAGGAAATAAAATACGTAAAATTCAACAGGCTCATGGAAATCTTTATGCCCTATGAGTTAATGACATTTTGTGCTTTACATTTTCATAAAGAATGATTAATAATCACATTATTGTTTATAAGACTTAGGAAAATATACAAATTAAAACCGTGAATATTGCTTCAGCGGGCTATGCAAAACAGTTTCCAATGTTTTATATTCTATTATTAATTTTATTCAAAATGTTCTGTTAGACATTTTGTTGTGTGATTTATTTATTTGGTTGACTAGCTGGCATGGACCAGTGTTTTTTTTCATAGGGCTATTACAAGTGGTCTCTAGAGGATAATATTTTGGTTGGACTGCTTATGAAGGATGGCACCATTTTAAGGGACAAATTAAGCCATACTTCAGTGAGTAATCTGAAAGACATCTAAAATAGCAGCATTTTTTTTCTCAGCATGAAAATTAAATATGCTATTTGGAAATGTAAAATCATTAATTGATCTTACTGTAGTTTTTAATTTTTAAAAGTGACATTTGTAAGTAGACAACTAAATTACTGGGATAATTATAAGGTATTAAGATTTTGAAGTCTGTTTATTTAAAATGTATAATAATGACCACTTCTATTTTCTAGTTTTTCACTTTTCTACATTATGAATTTTAGAATCACATTCTGGTACTTTTAGTAGGAGCTTTAAAGGTGGCCTGGTTGAACTTCCTTTGTGAGTGAGGAAATTAAGTGCATGTTAAATGATTTGTCAGAGGTCAAATAGTCCAATGGTGGCAGTGCCAGGAACAGAACTCAGCTCTCTTGCCCCTAGACAGTGCCTTTAATGTTACCCTTCCTGAGTTTTGAACCTTGGAATTACTAAGATTTTTTTGTTTTTGGGTTTTTTTCGGTAAAGAATAAAGCGTTGGGAAATTTCTTAATAATTTGTATTATGCGGGGGAAAAATTAATTAACAAAAGTACCACCCTTCCTAAAAACGAAGTTTGCTTAAAAACACCTATTCCTTAAACTTCTCCAGGGCTTTTGTATCCACAGATAATGTAAAATGTTATTTCTTGGTTGTTATCCTGTACTTGGACTTTCTTTGTGTGGTGTGTGTTTTCTGATTTATTGATTTATTTGGATTGCTTTCCCCTTTCTCCAGCCTCCCCTTCTCTCAACATCACCTCCTCTTCAACAAAGTAATCTAGGTTATCCACCTTTCTAAATTTTGTTTCATATAAAGATAGATTCACTCATACTTATTCATATATACTCAATAATATACATGTACATTCTTGATTTAGTCTGTTGTTAAATTATGTTCTTTTTGTGTTAGGATCATAGAAGTGGGATAGCTGTGATCAAAAAATATGTGATGATGACAACAACCACAACAAAAATCGCTAACATACGAATAGCCAACATACAGTTTGCCAGGCACATTTAGATCTGTTTTCTAGCCTGTAAAGGAGGTATAATCGTTCCTTTTGCTTATAGTTAATGTATGTTAAGTGCTTAGAACAGTAGGACAAAATAAGTTCTATCTATGCAGTAGTTGTACTTGCAGTTGTTACTGCAACTACTGTAATAATGATGTTCTAGCAAATTGCCAGGAGATGGATTGCTACTATCATTGCAGCACTAATAGTAGTAATTGTTACTGCTATGATTAATATTGCTGCTATTGTTACCAATTACAGTTCCTTTGATCCAGTAATCTTGTCCTGGGAATCTGTCCCCTGGAAGTAAAAACACTCATGTACCCCATTAAATGTACACAAGTGTTTGTTGCCATCTTGTTGGTGTTATGGCACTTTACAATTTTTGCCTTATCTCACTATTACTTTATTTGTACCTCCCCATTACCAGTGAGCATGATTTTATATATATTTTCTTATATATAATTTCATTTCATATTCATTAACTATTTCATATTTATCACTTAGATTTGCCCTATTTGAGTGTAGATTTCATTTATGTTGTTTGTTGCTTTAAAATAGGTAAACAAATTTTTATATATTCTTTTAAATATAATTTTTATAGATTTTATATTTTTAATTATATCTTTGAAAAGCACCTGCATTTCTTGTCTTGGTTCAGAATTTAAAAAAAATATATAGACTTTAAGGTTATCTTATCCAATGAAAAATATCTGTAGGGAGTCTTGTTAGAATTGTATGAAATGCATAATATGCTAACTTTGGGGAAGTTGGCATTATTCTTTCAATGTGTAAGCAATGTTAGCAGATCTTATATTTCATTACCATATTGGAAGCGGTTTTTAGCTTTGTGCTGGGCACATTCCTGGACGTCCTTACTCTCATTTAATTCTTGTAACAGCCCTATAAAATAGTTTTCTTTTTTAATCACTTTTTTAAAGTGAAGAAACTGGTATTCAGAGAGTTCAATAACTTCCTAGTATGTAGGAGTTGAAAGTCCAGTTTTGTTTTTTTATACAAGTGCAGTAGAAGCTATACTTCTGGAAACTGGTGAATATACTTGCGGTGGAGAAGTCAAGCAAACATAGTAGAAAGAGATAAACTGTCCATCTGCTCACTCGGAGTCCTCTAGAACAGTGCTTCTCAAAACTGTGTGCATGCACATCACCTGGGCACCTTGTTTAATGCAGATTCGAGCCGGGTTCGGTGGCTCAGCCTGTAATCCCACACTTTGGGAGGCTGGAGTGAGTGGATTGCTTGAGCCCGTGGGTTCGAGACCCATCTGGGAAACTTGGCAAGACCTCATCTCTACAATAAATCAAAAATTAACCAGGTGTGGTAGTGCGTGCCTGTAGTTCCAGCTACCTGGAAGGCTGAGGCGAAAGGATCGCCGGAGCCCAGCAGGTCGAGGCTGCGGTGGCCGGGAGCAGCCACTGCACTCCAGTCTGGGTGACAGAGTGAGACTCCAACTTAAAAATAAAATAAAATAAAATAAATAAAATAAATAAATTAAAATAAATGCAGATTCGAGTTGAGCTTGACAATCTGTATTTCTAACAAGTACCTCTGTGTTGTTGATGCCACTGGTCTGAGCACCACACCCTGTGAAGCAAAGTTTTAATACTCGCTTTTAGTTCTCATTGGAATCACAAGTAGAATTAACCAGTGTGACATATGAACCCCACTTCTTAAATCAGACTTCACATTCAGATCTTGGAGAGGGAGATATTTACTCCCTCTAGTTTTCAGGATTGAGAAAACTGCCCTTAATATACATAGAGTCAAAAGCTGTAGTCTTTTACTCTTTACTCGGCATTTTCAGTGATGTATTTTTATTTATTTTGATAAATAAACAGCGATACCCTTTCCCCTTCTTTATCCTACGAGTGTTTTAGGGAAGAGAAAAGTAAGTCTTAATCAGGAAAACACTGAGAACCCATACAATTTTGTCTTGCTTTTATGGAAGTCTAAAATCAAACTGAATGTTTTCTTTAAGTAAGAAAGTATATGCTGAGTGTTCATTTTTAAAAAATGTGAGGTGTAGATGTGTCTAAGAAGGAACAATCCACAGCACATTCAAGATCATAAATGCTCTGTATTCTCTTTATTGCTACGGGTTCACCTTGATTTGCCATCTGTTACGTGTTTTTTCCATATAACGAAGAAGGAAAATTCTGGTCCAGCTGTAGTGGGGTTGAAACAAATGCATTGGACCTTCTGGGTTTGTCATGAATTTCATGGCAAACTGTGGTTTATGATGAGAAGGGGCACAGAGGAGATGGTGCAGGTAGGTGAGAGCTCTTTTAAGGCCATGAATCACATTTTCTCTATGATGGAACAAGGATGTAGGTTATTATACCTTCAAATTTATCACACTTTTACTATTTAAATGGCATTTAAAGAAATGAAAACTTTCCTCCATTTTAAAGACAACTGCTATAGTTTTATGATTGTCTTTCACAGATGGTCATTTTTTGCTATTACAAATAGGGGTAAATATGGTACTCTTTGAAAGTTCCTGAAATGGGTGAACATTTCACATTTGTCATATATATGTTTGTTTATAATTTTCTAGAAGTATAATACCCCACCTGGAGTTTTTAACTGCCATTTCTCACCATCATGTAAGAAGCATTGTACTTTTTGCTTACCATTGTTAAAGTCAATAACAGTAGGGAGGAACTAACCTGATTAGAAAATAAACTTATAAAAGAAAGCCTAAAAAAAAGGGGCAGGAAATCCAGTTCATGCTTTTAGGATCTATGTGAGGTAGATGAAACAGGAGACTCTATATTCTGCTTTTTTGTTTGTTTGTTTTGTTTTCCTCTGGCCATGTGCATTGAACCTTTGGTGTTTGATTCATGCAACTCCCAAAGAGTTTGATTCTGTGGCAAGTGGAAGTTTGCATTCACAGAATATTTATGTAGTTATGTTGAAATACTAATGCTTTAACTTGATGCCCCCAACTTATGAGTGTACTATGAATGGCATTCATCTATTATTTAACTC